AGATAAAATAATCTAATCTAATACAATACGAAAAGATAAAAGACAATATTAAATAAGATACTAGAATAATACGTAACTTTATTTAGTATTTGGCAATACACAACATAAACGTTGGATCGTAATTATTTAATCCAATCAATTGTTTGGTTAAAAAATTATTTCATCGTATTAATGTTGAATTAACAAAAATATCTTCAATCATTGTTTGTTACATTGATGACAACTTAATTTTATCAGTTAGGGGGTCATAATAGTAAATGTGTAGAATAATATGTTTTAACTGGATTATAATACCACATTTTTTGGTGGTATTAAAATACCTCCATAATACAGGCTTATCATATAAAAAATATACTAAAAGTATACGATTAATATATGTTTTTTAAATTAATATAGTATCAAATTAGCTTATCTGTGACGCTCCTAAAACTGGGGGTCCCGTTGACAACCCGTCAACCAGCGGAATGCACGTGAGTGTCACTTAAGCCGACATCTCACCAATAATATCTCAATATCCGGGATTTTAACGCACACGTATAACCCGTGTTTCTTTAATCTTTTTAATTCAACAGAGGTCCAAGGAGCCTCAATATACCTTATTTAACGTCCATTTATATCATTAGAACTAAAGAAAATGAAGTTCAAAAGGTTAGCAAAACAATTTTTGGATTTTTCAAGTTTTTGGAAGAGCTACCGGTAGAAGTTCTACATGTAAGCTACCGGTAGGTGTTTCCTACTGGACAGGTACTACCTATTGATTGCCGGTAGTCGTTGCCTACTGGACAAGTACTATCTGTTAGTTACCGGTAGTTGTTGTCTGCTATACAGGTACTACCTATTAGCTACCGGTAGTTATTGTCTGCTGAACAGGTACTACCTATTGACTACCGGTAGTTAATGCCTGCTACCAGTAGGTTCTGTCCAGAATTTTATTTTTTCATCAGCTTTTCATTTTCAATTCATCCTAACTCATTTCAAGATCATGTAAAACATGTATAATGATGTTTAATACATAAAACATGATCCATACAAAGTTATTACAACCCATTCCATATAATTACAATTAAATATGGAATATAATCTAAGTTTTTATACAAAACTTGTTTTGTAAAGCCACAATCCGGCTTTTTTTCAACTTTGAGGCCTTGAATGCGAGTCCTCCACCGGCATGAACCCCGCACCTGAAATGTTTTTCGTATAGGGTGAGCCACGCTCAATAGAAAGTTTCCTACAGAAGCTACTCCCCACCTAGATGCATATACAATGGCCTCATGCAACAACACACAACCAATATTCATTCAAATGCAAGAATATGCAATTTATGTTAGAACCACCCATGTCATGCCATGAATGAAATGAGATTCACTCACGCACCTCAACCCAAGCCTTCACCGGCCCTCACCACACTATGCAATGCAAGTGTAAAACCCTTATTATTGATAAAAAACATCCAATGATCATTTTGAAATATAATTCATATGCTTTGAAAACATTTTCATTGTTGGATATTTCCCATTCAATGAACATTTTATACAACCAAAACCATGTGTCTTTATTGGATATCGGATTTCGGAATCATACCGCTGGCTCTGTATGCCATTACACTTTTTTGGAATTTCACTACAGAAAAATGTATGAACTAAGTGGCCGGGTTTTCACCCAAGGGAGTGTCTAGCCCTACTTGCTATACCCAACACAAGTTTTTCTCATGCAACATGCGACTCCAAGGGATCTTCGATCCAACATCTCCGAGTCCACATATCAATTACCAAGAGTGGTATTGATTACTTCATGCATACACACCCACACTCATGCCTAAGCTCATGAATGTGATGCAACCTCATGCCCAAAATGCAATGGATGTCAAATGAGCAATTTATCCACATATCCCATCACAATTCATGTCATGAGAATATAAATTCCATAAATAATTATTATGCTCAATACACCAATAAACATATATCCACATATCGCAACAACTCAAACATGTTATTTACATCAAAATAACAACATTAGATTCCTCGAGGTATTTTATCAAACACTTTCAAGGCACAATTTATGTTACCACACAAATCATATTATCACACCAATTTGCCCATATCATTTCAAGACACATTTGAACACATAGCATATCCAAGCATATCAAATTCCAAGAAAATCATACAAGTAATTTCTTATGCCGAACTTAACCAGGAATTGGTCTAAGGCCAAATTCCACACCTATTTCCATAACCATAGTCAAAAGACCTAGGTTGTTCTACATCCTTACCCATTCCCTAATATAAACTAGGTAAGAAATCAACCTAAGTAGGAGAATCCCTACCTCTTGAAGCGTAAAAGAAATGTAGAGCCCTCTAGGCACCTCCTAGCTCCAAATATTTGATTATCCCAAAGCTGCGTCTTTAAATCTTTGGTGAAAATTTTCGTTTTTAGTACGTACGCATAGCCCTTGTCGCGTAAATCAACTTTAATTCTTGAATCGACGGATTCCGACCGACGGAACTTGACAAATCAAAGGAGAAAGACTTCAAAATCAATATTTCTCTCTTCTCTCTCTTTTCTCTCTTCTCCAAAGTTGGAACCAGCCAGAAAATGAGCAAAATATCTGAATTTTCAGATATTTAAGCCCTATTTATACTTCTAATTATGCGGTCCACATTGCCCTGCTCGTTTATCATTTTCGGATCCATTTTAACCCGTAACGACTTAATTAAATTTCGATTTCAATTCAAATAAATTTTATTTAAATTTTTATTCAATTATAAGGAAATTTTATAATTTTAATTTTTGGGAACATTTAAAATTTCATTCGTCACACAATCGTCTTGAAAAACGTGTAAAATCCTACTATCTCAAAATTTGATGAAAATTGACGTGATAACTCAATTTCGTGGTACGAATCCAACGGTGAAGTCTGTTATTTCATCTGAGCTCTATGAAATATGCATTTTAAACCCGCATAATAATGACAAATTACCGTTTTACCCTTAATCGGAAAAAAATTCAAATTTCTCTAGATTTCACATTATCAATTAAAGTATTAGGCCCGATTAAATAAAAAATAGTATAATCGAATATTTAATCTCCTTATAATACATCTACCAAAAGAGTCCAATTTTTATTCGACGAATTTGCTACTTATAAAACATTTGATTTTTAATGAATTTATTTCCAACCCTTTTACCAAATTAATAAATATAATTGATTAAGTTAATAAATCATGTCAGTATTTTAGGTTCAAATAAAGTAATTGTACATATATTAATCCATAATAATTGATTTTGATTTGAATGATTTTTAACTATTAATTGAAGAAATAATAAATTAATAAAACTTAAAAAATAAAAAAAAATTAGGCGTGTTAGGTTTTTATTAAATAAAATATAAAAAATTAAATATTATAGAGAATTATATTCAGACCTCCTGAATGTAAGTACACTTAGACCTTGTTGTAAATATATTTGTTAATTAATTACACTTAGATCCTTAAAGTTTGTAAGTATATAATACTTAGATGTCTTAAGTTTAAAATTTTATACTTAGACAAAAAATACTCCAGTCAAATACAGAATATCAAATATTTTAATTTTTACAACCAAAATTTATATTCTATTAGATCATTTATTGAAATAAAATTAAAAATTAAAAATTTAATTTTTTCTTAAAAAATTATAATCAATATACAATTATACTATCTATTACACATGAAAAATTTATGAATTTTGGTTGTAAAATTTAAAATATTTTATATTTTATATTTGATTGCAGTATTTTTTGTTTAAGTATAATATTTTAAACTTAAGAGGTCTAAGTATTATATATCTATAAACTTTATGGGGGTCTAAGTATAATTTATTAACTGATATATTTGTGCAGTAAGGTCTAAGTGTTATGTGCGTACAAATCTCAAGGGATCTGTATGTAATATTTCAAATATCAAGGAATTAGAGTGATTAAGTGACAAACTTCAATGGGTCTAGGTGTAATTCTTCTTAATTATTATAATTGCACTCATTAAATTATAGGGAGAATTACACCTAGACCTCCTGAGATTTGTCACTTAATCACTCAAACCTCTGATATTTAAAATATTACATACAAACCCCTAAAATTTGCACGTGTGTAACACTTAGAACCTTGTTGTAAATATATCTATTAATAAATTACACTTAGACTCCCATAAATTTTATAAGTATATAATACTTAGACTCTTTAAATTTAAAATATTATACTTAGACAAAAAATACTTCAATCAAATATAGAATATCAAATATTTTAAATTTTACAACGAAAATTCATGTTATATTATATCATTTATTGAAATAAAATTAAAATTAAAAAAAATTTCTTAAAAAATATTAATTAATATACAATTATACTATCTATCGGAATACAATTAAAAAATCAAACAAGGGTCTAAGTCATTCATAATAGAACATGAATTTGTAGTATAAAATTCATATTTTATTTATTGAAATAAAAACAAAAATAAAAGTCTAGTTTTTAAAAAAAAAAAACATAGTTAGTATATAATTATATTATCTATTAGAATTAAACTAAAAAAATTAAACAAGTGGTTTAGCTTTAATTGAGATAGTTTAGTATTTAATTTGGTTGTTTAAACAACCAAATTAAATTATAATAGAAAATATAATTGTAAATTAATTATGATTTTTTAAGAAAAAAATTAATTTTTTTTTTCAATAAATGCTATAATAGAACATGAATTTTGGTTGTAAAATTTAAAATATTTGATATTTTTTTTTATTGAAATATTTTTAGTCTAAGTTAGTATTTGAAATTTAAGGGGTTTAAGTATAAATTATTAAATAATTTATTTATATAAGGGATCTAAGTATTACGCTCGTATAAACTTCAAAGAATCTGTGTATAATATTTTAAATATCAAAGAAATTGAGTGATTAAGTGATAAACTTTAGATATAATTCTTCCTAAATTATATTTTCGGGGCATCTGAGTTGCCTGACAGGTTTAGCGGAGGAGGGAGAGAGAGAGAGAGAGAGTCTTTGCCAGACATAACTGTTTCACCAGACGATCAAATTGTCTAGGCTTTTTGTCGGCAAAGTAATTGGTATGAATTTGGAAATCCCACTGGCATTTCTGCTAACGTAAGCCAGCTCATTCCCCCTGCTAACCTAAGCCAAGGTGCGTATTTCTTCACCATGCCAGCTCTCAAACTCACCATAATTGCTTCCATATACGCCACGCCCAACAAGCTCAATAAGTGGCTACGCACGAAGGCAACCCCCACAGTTACCGCCATCGCCACCATTAAAACCACCAGCTCCAACACCACAATCGGCAGAAGCTCAAAATATCTGGTGGCGTGGACGAGCGGGTGGAGGATAAGCCCGGGCGCACCCCTCATCCCTCAGGCGCACGATAAGGTGTTATATAGGAAGCTAGGGTTTCGTGGTCAGAAATATTTCTATTCCTCCGAAGACAAAGGAGGGGTTGTGTCTGATATGGGTTCCGAAAACAAAGACGACCAGTGGTTCGACAGTGCCGTCTCCCCCACGTCACCGTTGCCGCCGCAGAACCAGAACCACCACCACCACCGCCAAAAAGCACCGCCGCCACCAACATCTCCGTCAAAGGAACCGCAGTCTGCGAAATTGCTAACATTGCCTACGATCTTGACAATCGGCCGTGTCGCTGCCATTCCGATTCTAGTTAGCAGTAAGTTTGTCTTTCTGATTATGATTTTCTGTGCATTTGCTTTGATGCTGTTTGTTTTCCTGGAATTTCTGCTTTCTCGAGAAAAGTTTGGATTTTTGTTGTACAGAGATGTTAATTTGCCTCAATTTGGTCGAAGAAATATTGTTCATGTTGCTTTCAGCTGGGAAATAGAAAATTTCGAGAACTTTTGCAAAATTTCAATAAACTCTTGAAATATATTTGGTTGTTTTGAAATTTCTGATTGTTGTTGTAGTTGTGTGATTTCAGACGGGCCTTAATTTAGGCTGGGACATTTCAAGTTTTTTTTTTTTCTCATGTGAACATTATGTACTCGAAGCTCTCTTGATGCTTTATATGAAGTTGGTTTCTTGTGGTGATTAAGGTCATGTTTTTTTGGTTGCCCATCTTTCCTTTTCTCTTGTGTCCAAATATTAGAAACCCGAAAACTTTCTGATACTTGGATGGAACCATCCAAATATGTCACATTCTATGGTGAAAGATTACTAATGCTTGCTCATGTCTAATTTGAATCTATTGCACCAAGATTTCGTTTTGAATGCTCTTTTAATTGCCTGGATTCCATTGTATGTGGCCTAGTTGTGTTGCACGTTTTATTCGTATAGTTTAGTCAAATCTGTCCCGTGTTTACCTGAATTAGGTGTCTGGTTAGATATATTATGCCTCAATATCTAACGTTCACTCAATCATATCTCTGTGGTATTTGCCACTGCATGATGGCTGTAGATGTGATGTGATACTATTTTCATCTTGACTAGCCTTTTATGTGGATAGCTGGTGGGGAACAACTTCAACTACAGGTATCTTCATTGCTGCAGCAATTACGGATTGGCTTGATGGTTACCTTGCCCGAAAGGTATGGATTGCCTCTGTTTTTCAAACTCCATAGAAGCATCTGGTGAGACTTCTTTACTTAATATTTACATCTCAACTGATCAATCCTGCATGCTTCAATGTGTTCCAGATGAAGTTAGGAAGTGCATTTGGTGCATTTTTAGATCCAGTGGCCGATAAGGTATATTTTTTGTTAATCCTACAATTTTTTGTTATCATATGTTTGAAATAGTTGATTTTAAAAAAAAGTTATTGCGGTCTTAAGAATCATAACCAAAAATAGTGAGTTGTTCATACGTGTTGCACTTGTAGAACTATTTAAGAGTTCTTTATCTGATTGTTATGCTTAATGGATGTAGCTTATGGTGGCTGCCACCTTGGTCTTGTTGTGTAGCAGACCTTTGGAAGTTGTTATGTTTGGACAAGTGCCATGGCTACTAACTGTACCATCAATTGCCATAATTGGTAGAGAGGTAAGAGACTAACCCATGTTTACTTTATTATACGACCAAAAAAAAATCTTTGCATGTATTAAGTTCCAAAAAAAAGCACTTCAACATGCTTTTTCATTTTCCATTGTTTTCCTTGTGTGTGCACAAGCACAAACATGCATGCAATGAAAAGAAAGACTTCTGTATTAATAACGGCTCCCATATGTTGATATTCAGAAATTTAATTGCATGATAAATAAATCAATCACCATTCAATGTATGAGAAGCAAGTCCATACGATGAATATGTAAAGCTAGGAGAACAACAAAGAGTGAACAGAACACAGCAATCATGCTGTACAAGGTAATTTGAAAAAGATGAATACATAGAGAACAGAATCAGCTCAAACGTTTTGATAAGTAGAACTATATCCACTATGGGTGCCAAACAATGGACTGCAACCCACACGCTAGGTATACAAAAAAGCTATCTATCTTCATTAACTACCATATCCCCCCAAAATCAGCAAAAGAAACATATCATGCATAAAAATAGGTACAAAAGAGGGTCTTCCAAAATTTTTACCCTTCCCAAAACCATGTGAGCACTATTTGTATCTTAGCGACCTTGGCTTGGCCCTAACAACTCTGAAAAGAGCCAACAGGAAATTCCACAACTCCCTGGTCCCTAACCATGGCACAATGATGCAAGAGATGCTCTACATCTCTGGCAGCCTCGTGCCAAGAGAGACCACCATTGTCTGTTCCCTTTCTCCATTCTGCTTTCCTCTTTGCTTCCAATTGAGTCTAAGGCTAGGCTAAAGTGATGTGGATGCTACTTCACCTACTTGGAAAAATGAAACAAACTCTGTTTGTTTCTGGGTCTATGAATTGAATTCAGTAAGTTATAAGATTGGAAGTCCTACACTATTGAAGTAGGAAAGTTCTACCAACCTCCCTCGTGTGCGACTTTGATGTGCACACAAGAGAGAGGGAACAAGAAGCATAACCTTCTAACTAAACATGTTGCATACAACCAACATATTAGTTGGACAGTGAAAATAAATGAGAGTTGACACAACCTCCCAAAAGTTCGGTCCAGTACTATCTTAAATCGTCTGACATAAGACCAATCTTTAACAAATGGAGAATCACACTAGGCTCGTGCACTGCTTTGTGAGGACTTGCACTACATATGTATATAGGACTATATTTTTAAATAGAAATCCACACTTGCTCACAGAGATGCAATATTGGTTTTCACCAAGTACTTTGCTAGTCTGACAAGTTTATTTATATCATACCACCACTTTCTTGGTGCCATTGTGTCTTTCACCTGGTTTGATTTTATCCAATGTCATCATGTGTGTTGAATTTTGATGTCTGACAAACCAATTTGCAACCTCTGCTTAGATAACTATGTCGGCAGTAAGAGAATGGGCTGCTTCGCAGAATGGCAAACTTTCAGAGGTTTGTCTTTAACAACACGTACCTCTTACTTTCCGCTTTTCATTGCAGATTAATCATTAGTTTATAGTTGTGTTTAATGCTAGTAATGATACATCTTTGCAGGCTGTTGCTGTAAATAATTTGGGGAAGTGGAAAACAGCCACACAGATGATTGCATTAACCATCCTCCTGGCCACCAGGGACAGCAGGTTCAATTTTTGGTCTCTACTTTCTATCCTAGTTAAGATTAATGAGAGAATTTATTCGAAACTGTTCTTTGATCATCCCTTCATGTATTTGACTATTGTTCTTTGTCCTTTCTGTCTTTCTCTCAGTCTCACAGGGGCAGGGATTCTTGCAGCTTCTGGTGTTGCTTTGCTTTATATCTCAGCATGGCTCGCTGTATGGTCATTAGTTGTGTATATGAGAAAGATATGGAAAGTATTGCTGATGTAGCAACTATGGCCTTGTCTTTGGTTATCACAGTTCAGAGCTGTGGGTTTGTGCCAGATGGTTTATGGAGCACCTCTTGGTACATTTGCAATGCACTGTTGATACTTATAGCCATATATAAAAACAGGATTTACACAGAATTGCTGAAAAGTGGGGAGCTGCTTTTTGGGAAGGTTCCTCAGTTGTTTCTTCCAAAATTATTTTGAAAGAAGTAATCAACTGTAATCGTTTCGGAGGCCTTTTTAAGCCATCTAAATCTTGTAGCCCTGAGTTCGATGTGTTTTGTGAGGATACAACAGAATGTAAGCATTGAAACACTGTGCATTGCTAGTTATTCTCCAGAATAAAAAAATTGTTATGCACCGTGCAATATTTGTGAGGTTTTAATTCTGGTTTCTAATGCTGAAAGAGCTTGCTTGCATGATTTGTGGAGTTCAACTCAGCATTGGGTTTTATATACTGTGAATTTTTCATTGTTTAATGTTCTTACTACACTGTATGGTTACAAAATTTCATGGATTGTGGTATTGTGAGACTTCAAATGTATGTTGAAAAAACTTGGTTCCCTTATTTTTGTTGTTGAAACAGTGTCAGGTTCATACACGGCATCCGGGCTCTGGAGTACACTACACTGTCTTGGTCAGATGAATTTTAAGATTTTATTAAGGTTGAGAGGCAGGAATTTCATATATACTAAAAATTAATATATTTTATACAAAATTTTGTGGGCCTTGGGCAGGATTATTATAATTTGGAGATTGAACTGTGCAGAAAGATCCTGGTGTTAGCACATGTAGTGTTCTATATGGTCTCTCTGCTATTCAAGTGTCTTTGGTGACATTTCTTGATAGATTAAAATGACAAAGACATGCAGATTAATGTAGTATGGCAAGGGCATTGGCCATGAAACACCACTCCATAGGTTTTGATGGTTGAAGTTTTGTAATTATGCTAACTTTGGCAAAAGACCATTAGTTAACAATAAGTTCTCTGTTACCCTTGTTCAGAATTTACATGTTCACATGTTCAATGATGCCTTTTGAAGAAAATCTAGTAAAATTGAGTTGATTAAGGACCACACAAGAGGTTTTTACTTTGATTCACCCATTGTAATCTTGTTAGGTTATTCTCTCTTATAAAAAAATTGAAATAATCTCATCTGAAGATATTCTACAATACTGAAAATTATAAATTGATCGTGCAACAGAACATTACAGCTATCAATAACTCATGACAAAGGAAGGGGTGAGAGAAAGTCATCAAATATCAGACACTAGAATAAACTTTTTTTTTTATTTTTTTGTCTTTATTTTAACTGTCTTTTAAGGTCCCTCATTTTTCATCCTTTTGTAAAACCTAATTCTCATTCTTTATTACAATGTCAGTTTTCCTCTGGACAATCTATTAGCTTAGTGGTCTCTTTGGATTATCTCGCATCTTTTATATTTTTAATAATATTTTTTTTGTTTTTTTAATTATATAGTTTGAAATTGAAGTAGACAGAAAAAAAAAAAGAGATATATGTGGGGGGGGGGGGGGGGGGG